CTGGTTCTAAGTGCCTGATTCTTTGAAGAGGACCCCTGAGGAGCTATGGAGATACTAGACTTGTTAAGTATGTTTTGTAGGAATGTCAGTGTCCATGTGAATGTCCCTTTTCCTTCTGTTTTCTTTTAAGTCACATAGCAACCCTGTCAGCTGGTGGCAGACTGTGGTACTGGAGTCTTGTGAGGAAAGTTAATCATGGGTAATCAAAGGTATAGCTCCACACTTTTTAGCCAGGGGCTATTTATTATTAAGAGTTTTCGAGGTAAGATAATCCCTAGGTCCATTCCAACTCTAAATTCTCTTCACTGAGCAGACCAATTAGTGTACATTGGTTACTGACTTTGAGATCAAGATCAAGAGTCAACCCTATTTTCCTGATGAGGTACTGGGTGTCCTCTGTTTCATACACGTTTGAGTAAGAGGACATAGTGGTGGAGTGCTCTCTCTGACTTAGGTTAAGCATCTAGCCAACCTTTCCAACCACCATTGGCACCAGCCAAACCTGTACTTCCTTTAGAGTTCCCTTTACCAGGTGCTAGCTCCCAAGCCACATAATCCATCCCTATAGGGCAGAAATCACAGCAGTTGAGTGTTCAGTGAGCTGCCTGAGCCACGCCGCTCAGATTCACCAATGGCAGCACAGCCATGAATTTATACTTACACGGTTTGGGTGTGTGCTTCAGATTTGTCCTTCACGTTCTACTAAAGACTCTTTGAGACAGAGTGAAAGATTACAAGCCTTAGCTTGAACTGACTGGTGTCATGGCAACTAGCACTTCACCTTTTGCTGGTCCCCGTCTCATACATGCTACAGTATTTGCGCACATTAATAATTCATTACGAAGTGCCAGATTTCTGTGTGCTGTCAGACTGTGTCAAGGACGGAATATGCTGTGCTATCTCAGATGTCATCTACCAGACTGTTGAGGGCCAGAGTAATTAGAAAAGAAAACTAGTCAGGTTACTTGGGAAAATTCCTGAAAGTGTGATGCTTTCTGGCCACTCATAGCATTTTTCTTGTAAAGTAATGGATAGAATTCGTGTTGATCAAAGTTTATTTGGTAATGTGCTCCAGACATAAGGCAGGAGTTTGGTTGTGGAAATAATGCATGAGCAGTAATTGCTCACCTCCATTCAGGCAGCAAAGAAAATGATTAACAGCCTTAGTGCTCAGTCACGTGGATCAGGCTCCAGGGTGAGCCCTGGAAACTCAGGTTTAAAAAGAAACCTGAGTGGTCCCTATGTGAATGCTCTTGTCCCAGGCTGGCCTTTGCTCAGCACATAGTAGGAGCTGAGTGTTTGACACACTTCTTTGAAAGACAAGCAGTCTGGGTTCCTTTCTCTTTTCTTTTCTTTTTTTTTTAAAGATTTTATTTATTTATTTTTAGACAGAGGAGAAGGGGGGGAGAAAGGGAGAGAAACATCAATGTGTGGTTGCCTCTGGAGCACCCCCTACTGGGGACCTGGCCTGTAACCCAGGCATGTGCCCTGACTGGGAATTGAACTGATGACCCTTTGGATCACAGGCCAGCACTCAGTACAGTGAGCCACACCAGCCAGTGCTGGGCTCTGAGGCCATCTGTGGCCTTGGGTGCTTACTCCACCTCTCACCTTCCTCGGTACGTAGTTTTTCCCAACATTGTATGTAGTTGTTGCAGTAATCATAGTATTAGACCTGTAATTGGTAAGCCTCTCTAAATAAAGGATATAGGCCTTTGTCTCGGAATGAGAAAATATAATTGACACATTGGATTTCATTCATACAGGCCAGATCTGTCTCTGATTAGGCAAGAAATAACATATTTTAAACAAACATTGATCTGACACTAATTTTTTCTAAACTAACCCCTCCCTCTCAAAAGAAATCTTCAGATTAAAACAAACAAACCTATGTTACACTTTACTAGCTTCTTAAAGTGAGGCACATTTCCCTGAAAAATATCTTTACATCCCACCATTGGAAAAGATTTGTCACTTAGCCATGTTAGGATTCTTTTGTTTCTCCTTTACATACAAAACCAGGAGCTTAAGTGTCCCTCTGAACTACTTTGGAGAGGGTGCAAAAGGAAGAAGCCCAAACGACATTTTTTAATAGAATATGCAGCCATAAGACCCTGCTTTTGTGAAGGATAAACTAGGACTGCTTTATATTTGATGTTCTGGTTTAACACAGTTAAGTGCTGGTGAGTGCAAATTCTGCATAGGTGGGAAGAGGACCCGCTGTTGTTTTGCCCATCGCTGGCCTGATCAGAATATAGAACCTGCATGCAGTAGGCGTTCAAGAAACGCTTGTTAAATAAATAAGTTAATGCCACCAGACTAATTTCAGGGGAGGGGACATTCATAAGTTTCAGAAACTTGCAACAAATTAAATTTTAAAAACCTAGGAATTTGTTAATCCTCTCTCATCTAGTTTAATATGGTGCTGGGAACTGGATCAGTCATTTAGGAGTTGCCAGCAACACTGTGGCACGTGAATATGGGGAGTCATTAGAGCCAGCCCACTGGGCACCTGTGTTTTTTAGTCAGAGCCGGCCGGCAGGCAAAGTTAGGGGGACGCTGCCATGTGGTAGTCACAGTGAGGGCACCAAGTAGCATATTCCTATTGGTGTTTTATATTGTGTGTAATTTCTTGAGATATAACCTTGAGTTCTTATACTTAAGAACTCAAAAATAGCGCCCTTCATACTAAATCTATGCTTATTGTTTAAAACTAAGCAAACTTTTAATACTTAAAAATGGTTTCTGAATAACATCAAAAATAAATTTTATACTTTTTAGCTAATCTGGAGACAATCATAATGGGATACTTAAAAGAACACTTACAGACTTCATTATTTAAGGATAGGTTTTCTAGTTTAGATTGGAATATATAAGCAGCTTTGCAATGTTACTTTATTGCAGTTCTGTGATATAATGGCCGTATGTAAGCTATATAGCCTAACGGTGAACCTGTAATAACCACAAGTACCACAGTTTGCCTTTTTTTGGCTATCAAGCAGACCAAAATCATAATTACTATCATAATTACCTTAACCATTCCCACTTACTACAGAGAAATAAAATCAAGCTGAAATGTGTGTCTCTTGTACATGGAGCACTGCGGCTGGTCTGTGACATACAGGAGGAGTACAGATCACTTTTTTCCACGGTCCCGTCACAGTGCAGTAATTCTCCCTTGACAGTTGAGTCTGTATCTTCTAGCCTAGTCGAGGGCAGCCAGACAAATGAAAACAATCAATATTAAAATACCATAAAACATGTTACAGTGAATAGCACCAACTGTAAGTCTTAAATATGGACAAAGTCAAGGTGAATAGAATAATATTAGATAAAATGTAACTCCATGACTACTTTTGATAGAGAAGTATTGGGAAACTCCAGTGACATAAGCACTTTCAAACATAAGAGGGTATGTAAATCTGTGATGAACATTACACTTTGAAATACATAGGAGGGCATTAGGGGTAGATTGTCGGAGAAGAGAAGAATTCACGGGTAAATCCTTATAGGTGAGAATAAGCGTGACATAGGTGACAACAGAGGCCTGGACAAATGGGGTCTGAGTTGGGAGGTAAGGGGTATTGCATACTGGTCAGGAGTCAGACTAGCGAAGACCTGAGGGTATGTCCCTAAGATTCACTTGGCAATTGTATATGCCAGGTATTGGAACATGGAAAAACTTCAGAATTCGTGGAATGACCTTTTGATCTTGAACATGCAAAAATTATCATAACAAGTTAGATATTTATGCAAAAATTCAGTGATCCCTTAGCCAGGAAATCCTCTGAGAAGGGAATGCAGCTCTTCTTAAAGTCCATTGTATAGCATTTGGGTTTTTTAACTTCATAAATCATGGGAAGCTGTGTTGGCAATGGGCTATAACTCAACAGTAGACAGATTGCTCTTTGCTGCTTTCTTTTAAGAAGCAGGTTATAAAACTGTTGGGAGCCTGGTAGAGTAGTTCATAGATCATCTTAAGCAATTTGAAGTAATTTAAAAAAAAAATACAGCCTTGTATCTTGAAGGCAATAGAGCTGGAGGGAGAAGAGAATTTAGTGAGTAAGAAATCAATGTCGCCTGAGTCCGCTGTCCTGGAATCTGTGCCATGTGCTCTGCTGCACTGACTGGCCAGTCACCTGCCTCTGAGGGCAAGTCACTGTGCAGCACAGCCCACAGCGGAGTGTGGTCATTCAGAAGGTTTTGTCAGTGCAGAGTTAGCATTATGACACAGTTTTCATTAAAATGATTTTGTACTTTTACCCAGTTTATTTTACATACCAAAATACTTTACCTCCTGTTAGTGCACTGTGGCAGTAAAGCTCTGCATGCTGGAAGATGATGCGGGGACATCCCTTCATTCATGGGTTTATCATTTTTGATGTATCTATTAGAAAAACATTAATACAAGGCTCTGTTTGTGCGGATGCCAGAGGCCCCTCACAGACCATGAGATAGCTGCAATCAAGTGTCGTGAGCATAAAAGTATTTCTGGGAATCATTTCGATTAACAGATAACTATCACTTGAAAGGTGATAAAGAGTCTTATACTGACAGCTTTCTTTTCATCTGGACATTGTCCCCAAAGGGCCTGGTCTTACAGTCTTGTTGGTCATGGCTGTTAAGAGTCCTGCCATGCCAGTGACATCCTTCAAGGTTAACCAGACACTTAAATGACCTTCTCTTTTTGATAAATGTAAAATTTTGTTCTGTGACTTTGGGTTGGGTTTTAGATGAAACTTTTTTAAAAAAAGATTTTATTCATTTCTAGAAGGCAGGGAAGGAAGGGAGAAAGAAAGAGAGAAACATGGATCGATTGCCTATTGCCTGTCCCCAAAACTGGGGATCTGGCCCACAGCTGAGGATTGTGCCCTGACCAAGAATCAAACTGGCGACCTTTCGGTTCGCAAGCCGCTGCTCAACCCACTGAGTCACGCCAGCCAGGGCTAGATGAAACTCTTAATGTCAGTTCTGAAACCTGCACCTCACTTTTCTTTCAGACTACGAAGGCTTTTCTTCCTACGATGCTGGAGATTAATCACGGTCATATCGTGACAGTTGCAAGTTCCTTGGGATTGTTCAGTACCGCTGGAGTCGAGGTTTGTCAGCTACAAAGCGATCCCTTCATTCAGTCACTTTTATCTCCTGAAAAATACCCCCAAATCCTAAGAAGAGTAGCTGCTGCTTGGAGGTTTCTGAAAGCCCCCAACCTGGGTGTCACAGGACCATCTAGTGTGACCTCACAGCAGCGGGGAGAGAAGGCACTGTGCTGGTCCTCCGTGAGCTCATTCCCATTAGCAGTTTTGCTTGATGACGGTGGGGAGACAGAGGGTCAAGAATGAAGCCGTGGAGGGCCGTGGCAGCGTCACAGGGAGCGGATAAATGAGGCTAAAGGTTGACCTTCTGTTTTGGTCAACTTGCCAAAAGTGAGCTCTCTGTCTTGTGTCAGCTCATCAGATGAGATGGTTATGGCAGATGTGAGGGGGCCTGCATTGTAAGTTTGTGCAACTGGCCCTACTCAAACCCTGTTCTTCACCATATTCGAATTATACGCTTATAAAGCGTATGTATGTGTATTATTCCGTGCTGTTTGTCCTGTTGGTAGCTGTAATGTTAACACTGAAAGCATCACCCCAAACAAATACACTAAAGGAAAAAACAGAAAAAAAATACGCAAAACGACATAGAATAGATGGCTTCTACATTCTACAAAGCCCCATTGCTAAATTTAAAGTTGGATAATGGAGAATCTTCTTGTTATCCCATGTTTCCTTAGGTTAAGTTCTAGTTTAAGTTCACAAGGTATAGTTATCATTTTCATTTGCACTTCACCCTAAGAAGAAAAACAGATCATAACAACTTATAACCTAATCTAGACTTGCCTTTGTTCTCTTAGAATTAATTTAAACAAACTGTTTTTCAGTTTCCTTTGCTGAACAAGAGGCCATTTGTAAATTTTCCAGACACTTCAAAGTGAACCTCTCCATTTTTAACCCCAGCTCATTGGCTTTCATGGAGTCCTTTGCGGTAACTTCCCCAAAGTAATATGATACTTCGTTGATGTGGCAAAAAGTGTTCATCTGTTTTTGCTGTTGCTTTGAAAATATTATTTCTGCACTGAACCACATCAGATATCTGTCCTTTAAAATGCTTTCCTTTTCTTTGCTCAGTCACCTGTAACCTCTTGTAGCAAACATGTAACCAGAGTAATAGGCCAGGGAGAAAGCTTGAGTTAGGTCTGGGATCTGTGTCTGTACTTAGAACATTGCCTTTCTCTCTCCCTCTAACTCAGGATTACTGTGCCAGTAAATTTGGAGTTGTGGGTTTCCATGAATCCCTGAGCCACGAGTTAAAGGCTGCTGAAAAGGATGGAATTAAAACAACGTTGGTCTGCCCTTACCTGGTCGACACGGGCATGTTCAGAGGCTGCCGAATCAGGTCAGTGAGAACCTATATTACTGATAAAAAAGCTGTTTTAAAAATCATCTTTCCATACTGGGAGAATATGTGAGATTGGATCCTCAGACATAGCCTTGTACTTAGACTGTTATTTGACAGTCATCCTGTAGTTTTCATTGGTCAAAGGCTTTGTAAAATTGAGGTGAATAAGATTAACAAGCAAGGATCTGGTGCCACAGTGGTGTCACCTTGCAGAAGTCAGTCTGAAAGCATCAGACATAACATGGCTTCTCTGCATCTTCAAGAAGAAAACTTAGATGCTCAAGATTTTCCTTAGAAGCCACTTCCTTAGGAAGTATTTTATTTCTTTAATACTAGGATTGGAATGTCAATGCCACAGAAGTGTTACACTCCAAATTTGGGGGCTTCCTTTCTGCAGAGAGTGTATGTAGCTAGATTCACTCTGACAGAATGAGAAGAAACCATTTAGTTTACTAGACATAAAACAAAATACCCACCCACTTTGAGAGGAGGCCTATGGGAATATAAACGTCAAGTTGCATCTGACTTGAGCTAAGCAAAATAAACACCACCATGAATCATTAAGAAGGTACTTGTGAAGACATGCCTACTTTAAAATCTTTGCTTGGATGAATTTGAAAGGCAAAGGAAGATAACTGAACAAGTCCCCTGTTGGTCACGTCCTGAAATTGACCAAGCAGTGAAATAGGTGGAAGGTGATTTGAGTCACTGCAGTCTCAGGCTGACTCCTCCTTTCCTCTGTGTGTGTGCGCGCGCGTGTGTGCCCATGGTTTTTCCCTCTTATGTATTAGAAATCAGTTGCTGGGGTCTGAGGAGCTCTGTTTCTTATTTAGCATCACAACAGGTGTCCAAAGTTGTGGTGGGACAAAGAAAAGTAAAAGGAATAAATTATATCATTAGGGTATTTCAACACGTAATTTCAACACGTAGGGTATTTCAACTTATTGAATTCAGCTGAAGGTAGATGTCTCAATGCACTTCACATCAGAGAGCCCTAGAGAAAATACCCTGGCTTCTCCCTATTCAGGCATCTGGGAAAGAATATGTAGCGGATTTTTACTTCACTCAGAAAGGCTATGCCAGTGTTTACACACCATCATTTGAACCATGCTGAATACCAAAAGTTTGACATCTTGGTTGGGTTTAGTGTTTGTTATGCCAAATACCCTCTCCTTTTTATGTTAAAAGGTAAAAAATAGAAAAGTAATTTGAAATATCTCTTGAGCCATTTTTAAAACGACTCACTACAGAAGAGCAGACCAATTTTGCCTTTTCTTAAAACTTGTTTTCCAGACTAAGCCTGTTCAGAGCAGGAAAATTTAGAAAAGGCAGAAAAGCACAATGAAGTAAACAAAGTGGACTCAAAACCTGTCACTAAAGTAACATCACTGTTAATATCGTGATAAGTGTTTTCAATCTTGCCTATTTTGTGCTCCTTCTTAATTGTATTTTTTAATTATATAACTTTCAGGAAGGAAATTGAGCCTTTTCTGCCGCCTCTGAAGCCTGATTACTGTGTCCAGCAAGCCATGAGGGCCATCCTCACAGACCAACCCATGATCTGCACCCCACGCCTCATGTACATCGTGACTTTTATGAAGAGGTAACTGAGGGGTCCCTCTGAGGTCCAGGCTTTCCATATCCATCCCCAGGGCTTAGTTAACATCTCACATTTGCTAACAACTGTGGCTTTCCTTTTCAGCATCCTCCCTTTCGAAGCAGTTGTGTGCATGTATCGGTTTCTAGGAGCGGACAAGTGTATGTACCCTTTTATTGCTCAAAGAAAACAAGCCACAAACAATAATGAAGCAAAAAATGGAATCTAAGAATTTTTTTGTATGGAACATCATTTCTCTCAGAAGATGATCAAGATGTTTCAGTTCAGTGCACGTCAGCATTACTGACATTCTCTGGATTCTAAATCCGTGTTGACTTTTTTAAAAATCAACTTTTTTAAAATAAATAAATAAATAAATAAATAAATAAATAAATAAAGTGTAAATTAACCGACTAGAGTACTTGGAAAACGTGATCAGCAAAAGTGAGGTCAAGTTGTTGCCAGCGGGGTCCTTTTTAGGCAGAACCCTAAAACCAGTCTATTCTTTTAGACAAGCACTGTGTGCCGTCTCTGGGCTACCATTATTTTTTTTAATGATCAGAAAGTCTAGAGATGATTACTACAGTGTGTTTCACATGTGTGGTTTTTCTTAATTCCCATAGAGTTTATTAATTCTTGTCATTAAACTCTAGCCAGTTGACACCCTTGCAACTTCGAGGACTGATAGTGCTATGTTTTCTCATGTTTTCTGTTTCAGTTTCACAAAGCCTGTATGGCTCTTTCGTGGTGTTTGTATGTATAGCTTTTTTGAAATGGAATTTTGAAATCTCCATCAGTTTGAATTAAATGATGTTTGATTGTTAGAATAAGATGACCAGGTCTCTTTCTTCAAGTCATAATGACTAAGGTGTTAGCGGAATATTTAAAATTTATCTCTGAAATCTTTCCATAAGTATCAGTTATTTTGGAGACCTAGTTATCCAAAAAAAATCATGCATTTTCTACCTAGGAATTTTGCTGCATATGGAAAGTGCCCTTTCCTTGGGAGATTGCTGTGTTTCATTTCTTTGAGTGGACTTTTATCTAGGATACATAGCAGCTCTGCAAAGAAAGCATTTCTAAAAATGGGAACCTCTAAACTTAAAAAAATCCCCTTTTTTGTGCCAACTATGATTAGTGAGAGGAGAAAATCTTATACTATTGGAGTACAGATGGAAGGGTGTAAAGATTCTTCTGAAAGTTATTCACCTTGTACAACAGCAAATGACATTTTTACAGTATTTTTTTGTAAAGCAAACTATTTCGTGCCTTGAATTTGGTAAATGTGTATTAGTGAAACGTAAAAGTGAACTTCTACCTCTGTATCTAAATGTATACCATCCATTTGTAAATGACTATAAACTATTATGTGATTGCTTTTTTTTAGAATGTCTTGTTTAAATAGTGACCAATGTTTAAGACTCTTAAAAATAAGCCATCTTTTACTAATTAATTGGGAAGTTTTATAAAAGACTATTAAATTTAAAGAATTAACTTACATACAACTGAGTGTGTGATTTATTAGTTATGGGCAATGTTGAAGCAAAAATTGTGTTCTTTTTTTCCTCTGTGCCACATCACTCCTTGAAGAAAAGTGTTTGAATGGGATAGTGTTCAGGAACAGACACTAACTGCTTAGGATGCCGTGCACACAAATTTGCTTAGCTTAGATCCATCCTTTATTAGGAACTTGTTTATACTAAAGTAGGGAAATAGAAACCTATTCCCTATGTGTTTGACTGTAGTGTGGAGCAAACCTGCACTGTCTCACAGGAAAGTCCTGGCCCATGGCTGCGGTCCTGTTGCTGGTCTTTGTAGGGAAGAGCTTCATATTATGTTTAAACATCTCTTTATCAGTGATGACAAAGGCTGAGGCCATTAAAACAACTGAGGCACTGGCTGCCTCTTCATTTTCCTTTTTGAGTTTAAAGAAGTACTTTAAAGTCATCTTAGAGCAATATGGACAGAGACATATTTCCGAGGTGATTCAGGTCTGTCTGAGCTAGCCTCAAGCACTTTCAAACCATCCTACAGAAATCTGTTCTACGTTAATGACCCATTTATCCATCTCAAGACAAAGGAGGCTCTTCCTTACATTTAATTTTATTCTCATGTGTTGTAATTTAAACCTATTTCTATTTTTGTTTGTTACTGCCCTTGTAAGGTTGCCGATTTCTGAGTTCAGTACATCTAATTCATTTAACTTTTTTTGTAGAAGTCTTCAGTATCCACATCCCAGCCTAGTTTAATTATACCTGCGGCCCTCCTTTGAACATTGTCAGAATTCTCTAGCTATGGATTTGGAAGGGGATACAGTTAATACAAGGTTAGGAGTCCAGGCCTCCGCCATGTTGTAGTTATTCATCTCAGCATTACAGTCTTAGTATATAACACTGCACCAGTGACCACTGTTCTCCCCAGACGTAAGATCTCTTCTGGTCAAGCAACAGCGTGCAACAGCCTGCAACAGCCTGCATATTTCTGTTGCTCACTTAAGTAATTGCCAAGGTTACTGTTCTTGCTGATTATTCATCTACACCCCCACCCCACCTTGACATTAATCCTGGCTTTGAATATGTTCTCTTTGCTGTCATCTGGCCCAGTCAGGTGAACAGTTCAGAGCCACTGGGCTCCAAGGGTGACCCCTAGGGAGACCACATCTGTCCCCCAGCTAGAACTGGCTCATGAGAGTGCATCCTCTCTCTCTCTCTCTCTCTCTCTCTCTCTCACACACACACACACACACACACACACACACACCCCCCACCCACCCACCCCCCCTTTTAACCAGTTTAATGATAATCATTCTGAGTGGGACCCAGGAATCATGAAACTGGCAAAGATAAATTCCAACCATTGTTTTCCCCCTTGATCTACCAGGTCTGCTGCTCTGTCACAAAAGATTAGGTCAGCTTGACAGGATTCCACTGCATGAAGCCAGACGGTTTTTTTTTTTTTTCTTTTCTTTTTCAAAGTATCTTGTTTCCTTGAAAGGCTATACCTTTCAAATTTTTCCCAAGTTAAAAGAAGAAAAGTTAAATGTGTTTTTCAAAGTTTTCTTTTCCAACTGGCAGAAATACTTACAAATTAGTGTTGACCTGAACCTTGGATATTTCCTTTTGCCTCCAACATATATATGTGTTTGCCTCCAACAAAATACAAAATCAGTTAGGGTTGAGGAAGCAGGGTAGTTCTTTCCATGTCAAATCTATTGTCTGTATCTGATTTAAAAAGTGGAATAAAGGAAAGCTGTGATGGGCCTGCTGGGCTGGCCCCGGGGCCAGGGAGCAGACGGTAAGCATTGGCCCACAGGCAATTTAAGAAGCATCCCCAACATCTAGGTACAAGGGCCTCTCCCAGGGACTCCAGTAGCCTACAGTGAACTCACAAGGGCAGATCCAAGTATTTTTCTGTGCAGATGCTACAAATGAAGCCTCAAGAGTGTGATGAGGTCTCAGCAAGGTGGGAGGCAGGTGGTGGCAATTGAGGTAAGCCTTGAACGTTAAGGATGCGGCAGAAGGAGATGAGAATGAGAACTGGGCCATTCCAAGGGGCAGATCATCTGGAAAGGCCTGAAGATTGAGAAAGGAGGATTACACTTATACCTCAAACAGGACATGGGTAGAGAATGCCACACACTCCCTAAGGAAGTCCCATCTTGAAATAGCCTCCATTCCAGGAGGAAGAACGCGTGCGCTTCACTTGACAGGGAAGAGAGAAGCCCTGGGGAATTTTCTAGTAGCTACCCAAGCAGGGTTGGGAGGTTAACCGAGTCAGTTCAGTGGCTGTAAAGAATCTCGGGACACCAGTTGGGAGGAAAGCTAGGACAGGAGTTCAGTCGGAGGAGGTAGACCTGACGGTGAAAGCAGAAAGGGAGAGGGGGCCCGGGGGGTGGACGGTAAGGCTTGATAATGGGTGCGCAGGGGACCGAGCTTTCCTGACAGGCACGCTCACCATGAGCCAGGCTGTTTGTAGGTGTGAACCGCGGAATGAACTGTGAATCTGATACCAGAAACGTTGCGCTGGAGATGACAGTAACTGACAGGTGGACGTCTAGATCCTCCTCCTAGGTAAAAGGCCGGTGCTACGATTCTGCAGTCTGTCTGCAGAGAAGCTAGGAAGTGAATAAACCTGGGCGGGGGATACTCAGAATGAGGTCCAGGGACCCAAACTTGGAGAACGTGAGAGAGCAGCTGGAAGAAAAAGTCATGAAAGGTGACATTGGAACAAAGTTAGGAGGGGAACTTCCTCCTCCCAAGGAGAAAGCTGACTAGAAACAACTATCTCCTCTGCCTAGACCTAATCTCCAGTCTGAGTCACCCTTAAGCAACCTCTGTCTGGCCCAAGAAAGAGAGTCTGTGTGGCCAGTCCTGGGGCCACAGCCCAAACAAAGGTGAAGGGCAGCGCTAACAGATAGGACATGGAGCTTTCACCGGCAGGCACTCAGGTTTCTAGTAACTGAATCCATTGTTCAAGTGACCAAAGGAAAATTTCTTCCAAAATGAAAGCTGTTGTTCTTTGGCAATTTTCTCAGCTTGGCCTCAGAAGCATGCCTTGCTTAAATGAGCAGGCGACAGTTCGTGGGAACCCCGGGTAAAAACAAAATGCATTTCGGTATCACCAAATGGATACATGTTAGTTCAAGTGCACATTTCCATGTGCCAAAAACAAGGGACACCACCAACTTCTTATCGGTCTGCGCAATAGGACAGGCTTCTATCTGGGTTGCTCCAGCACTGAACTCCTGCAGGCCAAGAACTGCTCCGGGCAGGCCCCAGGTCAGGAAGGACATCACTGCACTCCCAGCTCTCCTGGGAAATGTCAGGCAGAGAGTGTGACCACGGTTCCAGGTACTGTTAATTACAACCCCTCCTGCAGCTTGCTGTTGCTACATCACAGTAGCTATTTCACTGCATTTAACGTTTCCACGACTCTCTCTGTAGGAAAGCCCGAAGAATGTGCTGTCACTAGTCTCGAATCCTCACTGAGTACTTATTTCTCCTTTAACTAGCTCCACTTCTGTAGACAACTTAAGATGTCTTCTAGGAGCTTCTCACAAGCTATTTAACTGTAATTGTGGAAACCTTTCTAACCACTAGCTAAAAGCAAGAGAATCGATCAGCAAGGAAAAAAAATAAAAACATCTTCAGCCCAGATCTAAGTTTGAGGTTTTCCTGTCATGGTGATTTAAACCATGCTGTAGGGAGAGATGTGTGTTCATGGCAGCCGTGAAAAATGCCCCCTTGCCTTGCCCGGCCCACGTGTCCTGGGTGGTCCACCTGGACGCCACCTGGCGGGCCTCCCCTCCCACAGAGCAGCAGGGCCCGTGCCTGGCTCCTCCATCGCGGCCTTCTGCCTGCAGGTATGTGTCTCCCTGCCCAGCCTGGCTCTATTCATGGTCCAGGAGGCCGGGGGGCGGGGGGGGTTCTGGCCCCCACCCAGGCACGAAGTGTCCTGCCACTGCAATGTTCCCATTTAAGAGTTCAGCATTGTAAGTCAACTCATGTCCCCCCAAAAGATAATGTCTTCACCCTCAGTTCCTGTAAATATGACCATTCTGCAGAATCTTTGCAGATGTAATCATGATGAGGTCGTATTAGATTCATTGGCCCTAAATCCCATCACTGGTATCCTTTTAAGAAAAGAGACCGACGCAGTCCCCTCAGCGGTCTCCCCCACCTCATTAGTCTCTTGCTTCAACAGTGTTTGGACAGGTCAGACCCAGGGACACCCCTTCTTCCAGACTCTGAACACCCTCAAACCATTTTCCAGTTACCACCTATGGGATGATCTCAGTCATCCTTGGCCCCAAGTCCAACAAACACACCGTTTTTGAGCTCACATCCATATTTCTGAATAACCATGAACTCCCAAACTTGTCAGAATTATTCCACTGAAGTGAAGACCTCACCAACCACCTGGCCACCCTGCATCTGCAGGCCTCCTACACCTGCCTCTCTGTCTCTCTGGCCTTCTTTCTCTGAGAGTTGGCAGGGCTCCCAGTGCTCTTGAAGATGCAAAACCAGCATGTGGCCACATTCTCTTCCAGGATGTGTTGAAGCTGCCCCAAGATGAGTGGTGTTACTTTCAGGATGCCATGGAAGTGGCCTTGGTCCTGGGAAGAACCTGACCCAGGCCCTTTTGGATCTGCAAGCCCTGGGTTCTGCCCACACAGACCCTCATCTGTGACTTCCTGAAAAACAACTTCCTTGATGAGCAAGCAGATGAAACCCATCAGGAAGAGGGGTGACCACACAACTGGCCCTGAGGCTGGGCTGGGTTAGTATCTCTTCAGAAGGGTCACCTTCAAGCACTAGGAGCCTTTGGAGCCCAGAGGCATTTGAGGGGTGCCTCTGCATCCCCCTGGTGTTTGGTTTCTGCCTGAGCCCCTCCCTGCCACCACTAGGCAGCATTTTAACCTCACTGCAGCCCTCTCCTGTGCCAAAAAAGGAAGGAAGGAAGGAAGGAAGGAAGGA